CTCGGAAGGATGGAAGGCTGAGTCAACCCTGAGCCGGTGAGATTTGAACCGCTGACCTGCTGATCTAGCAGTAGCCTGCAGTGCTGCATTTAACCACTGCGCCACCTTGGCTCTAGAGATTCCGGAAGTCTGGAAATGGGCCTGTTTCCGACCTCTGGAGGGCCTCCGGAGCCCAGGGGAAGCAGTTTTCATCCTCCTGGAAGCTCGAAGAAAGCCTTCAGAACCTGGGGAGGGCAAAAAATCCCCCCCCCGCAATGGTGCAGAAGACCAACTAGGCCATGCCCACCATGACCATGCCCACCCAGCAACGGGGTAGCAGCTGCAACATTGCTGCAATTTTTGAAGCCCACCCCTGTCAAAAATGGTATTTTCTTGAAAAGCTGGACAAGAAAAGAGCACGTCGTTGACTCTTTAAAGCAGCCACCTTTTTTTCCTGGAATTGTGTGGCAGTCTTGTGCAGATGCAGGTGTCATCTTTGAAAAGATACAGCTGCTTTAAAGAGTTGTAAGTTGGGGCTAAGTTGATGCCCTCATGTTCCCTAAAATATCTTTTGGGAGTCAGATCCATGGCGCCATAACACAACTGTGAATTCTGGGGTAAACGTTTATTTTATGCTTGGTTTATTTGAATTATAGGCATTTCTTGCAGTTTTCCCAATGGTTCACTTCTAGAAATCCTTAGTACTCATAATCTGCTTGATTACAGGCAACCAGTTCTGGGTCGTGAAAGGAGATTATTTGCTTCCTGGGTACCCCAAGTCCATCCACAGTCTGGGCTTTCCCAAAGAAGTCGCAAAAATTGATGCTGCAGTTTTCAGTGCCAATGAAAAGAAGACATATTATTTTTCTTCAGACAGATACTGGAGGTATGACATAAACTTAAATGCAATGCAAGAGGGCTTACAACTGACTTTCAAATTTTGTATGTATACTTAATTTTAGTGGCAAGTGGCAACATGCAGTATTGAACTATATATTTAAAACGATATGGCATTATTTCATTTCCAAATTGATTAGTGCCATCTAAAGTTAGCCACAGATATCATTTGATTACTGGGTAGAAAATTTATTCATATCAGAAAGCAATTACTATAGAGCTAGATTTCGGGGATGAAAGATTAATTGAATTACAGTACATTTTGGATGCCTATAAAGTCTGTTTACTGATTAAGCCAATAAGGACCAAACCTCATGTACTGTATTTTAGACTTCAGATTTAATCTATAAATAATACAGATTACTTTCCATTGACTTTTGTCTACCACCAATTGCTTTGACTGTTAGTAGTTCAGATCAGTAGTGAGTTCTGGCCAGTACGCCCCAGTACGGGTGTACTGGTGCCTGCTGGGAGCCACAGGCACAGTTCCAGTACAGTGTTGCGGAGGGCCCACCCACCCGCCCGCTCTCCTTACCTCTATTTATAGGTTATAGGTTTATTTCATTTATATGCCGCCCTATTCCCGGAGGGACTCAGGGCGGCTAACAAACCCAGGGGAGGGGGTAATACAGACAAGGTAAAAACAACAAACAGGATACAGAGAAAATTTAAAAACAATCAACAGTCACACAATTCGAGCGGGGAAGGGAACTGACTTTGAGCCGGCTAGGGCATTTGTGCATGCGCACGTAGTGTACCACACCTGTGTGATGCTCCGCCGAGGGCGGTGGTGCACTTGTGTGCGCAGCACATGTATACATGGTAGATGTCTGGCCGCATTGCAGCATACCAGTTGCGACGGGATCCGGGACCCACCACTAGTTCAGATTCTTGTAGAAAGTGTTATCATGCCATAACTCTCTATTCATTTGAGCTCACTTGGCTCCTGATTTCCTGCTCTTGACAGAACCTTTAGTCTCTGTTGACAAAATTCCAATTTCCAAATTTTCCATATAATTATTTTTAGCACTTTTCTCCTGCGTTTGATCTGACTTTATCTTGAGCATGATGTTTAGGTCTGCACTGTGACTGGTTAAAAGGGATGCAGAAAAACTGAAATATGTTCAGAAAAGGGCAACAAGGTCATCTAAGGACTAGAAACGAAGTCCAGTAATGGAAAATATGTACACTGGTGAAATCTGAGAAGGAGTATGAGATTATTCTTCAAATACTTAAAAGTATGTCACATACAAGGTCAAGGAAGGCCTGTTGTCTCTTGTTCCAGAGTGCAGGACATAGCATGGTAGATGTAAATTACAGGAAGACATTCCAAATGAATGTTAGAAAAATTTCCCAACAATACCATAATAGTGAAAATCATTATCCCTCCCTTCTGCCTGGGATACTTCTTTCACCTTGCATCACAAGATCAGCAACATTTACATTTGATTTGATAAATTTGAATCATAAGCAAATGCTTTAATGCATATTTCTTTTCTGAAGGTTGAACTTGGATTCCTTTTAAATCTGTGATTCTGACTCCAATTTGGGTTAGGCTTAAGTTTCTTCCTTTTTTCCTTCCTTTTCTAAGTTACGATGAAAACAGCAAAACCATGAACAGGAGTCCCCAAAGGATCCAAAATGGCTTCCCAGGTATCTCAGGCAAGATTGATGCCGTCTTCCACTACAATGGTAAGGAACTACTTTTAAAAGACATGAGTAGGGATTTTGTGCCAATATTGCTATTTTTTTGAAGGACACGTAAACAAAGCACAATTGACTTGAGAATCATTAGGACAGGAGTGTCAAACCAGTGGTGGGTTTCAAATTTTTCAAATTTTTTTAGAACCTCTTCTGACCCCCGCAGGTCAAACACAATCCTGATGCAGCCCTAAATGAAATAGAGTTTGACATCCCTGGATTAGGACAAACGTCCATAATCAGAACCTGTGAAGGGCTAAATGACTTAGTTATGTCCCTCAGGATTTCCCTTGAGGATATTTTTTGGGAAAGGATATATTAAAGCAATTAATCTTTATTTGTTTATTACAACAACATACAGGCCACTCCATTCAGAACCAACCTGGAGTGACAGATTAACTACTTGCAATTGTAATCATGTAAAACTGAATTCAATTTTCATTTAAAATTTATATTTGTCCACTGACTTCAATGCAAACCTCTTTTTGCTCACCAAAGAATTGTGTCCCCCCACTGTACCCCAGTTCAGATCAGTAACACAAATCTTAAACTTTTTGCATCAAGTCTCTTTCTCAATTTTATTGCTCAGAAAATGTAGACAGAATCTGCCAGAAAAATCATTCTGGCCAAATATGTTCACGATTGCATTTCCACAATAGCCAAAGTAATTATAATGAATCCACCCCTTGATAAGTATTTTTTCCATTTGTTTGAAAATGTATATTATATTCCTTTATGTTTGCTTTCTTTCCCCTTTGTAGATGCATTGTACTTCTTTAAGGGAAGAAATCAATATGAGTTTGATCTTAACACCAGAAGAGTTACTCGGATACTAAAGGCCAACAGCTGGTTTTCATGCTGATGAAACTTTCCACTGATGAAACATAACTGGTTACTTTACATTGAATGTAATCCACTGTTTTGTACGTGTGTGAAAATATAATAATTAACATAATATAATGTAATGCAATATAATGTAATGTAACGTAATGTAATGTATATAATAAAACAATGCAATATATATAGTATTCTAGTGAGGAATTATTATCCTATATATGATAACTGCTGCAAGATTATTGCATGTACAAAAATGGAAAGAATACAATACCTACAACAGAGGAATGAATGGTGAAGATGACAGAATTAGGAGAGGTGGCAACTTCCATTTGTCTGATTAGAGACAAAAAATTATTAGTGACAGGAAATCCCTTATGGACTTTTTTCTGAAAAAAATAAATAAATTGTGATTTATGGGTTGGATGATCAGAAAGGGTAGATTTTGGAAAGAAAGAAATTATGTTGTCACCTTTAGAGAGACAGAGAGGGTAAAATATAAATCTGGTGGGACCTGCTATTAAAAGATCAGAAACTACTTTATCACTTTTCTTTTCCTTTCTTTTTTCTTCTCTATTCTTTGAACATTTTCTTTAGTGTTTTTCCTTTCAAAATTTGTATTGTTCTTATTTTGGTAATTTAAAAAAAATAAAAATTATATATGTAAAAAGAAATTAGCTGTCCTGTCATAAATTCACCTTACCTAGGGATCAGTGGTGAAATTCATTTTTTTTACTACCGATTCTGTGGGCATGGCTTGGTGGGCATGGCAGGGGAAAGATACTGCAAACTCTCCATTCTCTCCCCACTCTGGGGCCAGCCAGAGGTGGTATTTGCTGGTTCTCCGAACTACTCAAAATTTCCATTACCGTTTTCCCAGAACCTGTCAGAACCTTCTGTATTGCTAAGGATTATAAATCAATTGTGGCTAAATATCTGTGTATGTGAATAGAACGATCTTTTTGATTCTGCTAAAATGTCCTGCCATTTTTTAAAAAGTTAAAGCCTATATGGCAGGGAAGTTCAATCAAAACAACCACAATGATGGATGCCACTGTACAGTTTGTGATGACAGCTATAATTTTATTACGAGTAAAAATAAAAAAGGTAGGGCTTCAAGAAAACCATGCCAAGGATTTGACTTTTTTGAATCAATCCATCTCCATGGATACCTTTAACCATTTGTTATCTGAACAAATGCAAGTGTTCACACTACATATTGGCATTTAGCTAGCTATACAATCAAATGGTGCCCATTCATACCTTTCCCAATCTCACAGAAAGACCAGCTTAATTATTCTGTTACGTCTGTCAGAAAATATGGTAGACGTTCGTCTCATCCATTACACAACAAAAGAAATAAATAAGAAGATACTTTGCTGCACGTTTAAGATATATCCAAATTTGGCTGTTTCTCAACCTTGGCCACTTGAAGAGGTATGTGGACTTCAACTCCCAGAATCCCCTAGCCAGCCATGCTGGGGAAGTCCACATCTCTTCAAGTGGCCATGGTTAAGAACCATTGGATTATCTCATTCTGTCAAATGGAAAGCCTGTGTCACTTAACAAAGGTTCTATTGTATCCATAGACATAATTGAAGAGTGGATTTAGGAGAGAAGCTTTTACATCCAGTGCTACATAAAAACTTCAGCGACCACACACAAGAGATCAATGTGGAGTGTCTGTTATGCACACTATAAAGTTGAATTATACTATAGGCTGGTTTTGTAATCTCTGGAAACTCCTAAAACCTTTGGAAAGGATCCGAAGTATTTCTTATTAAATCTATCACTCAGGATACAATTCCAAGACAAATAAATCCATTCCATCGTGATGATAAAACTCTTCCAGGCATTCATTGACACATATTTTGCAATATAACAGAGAGAAAACATTGTATAAACCTTTTGACATTGGAAGGTCATTATTTCATTCTTAATGGAGTACCACCAATCCTGAGCCCTACTTGTAGCATTTCACAGTTGTTTATTTGTCCATACTCCCTGCTCAAGCATTCCAGCCAAGATGTCGTCTAATCTCTTCTGCAAAATCTCCAGTGATGGAGCACCCACAGCTTCTGGAGGCAAGCCATTCCACTGATTACTTGTTCTCACTGACCGGAAATTTCTCCTTAATTTCTCCTTAATTGTAAGTTAGATCTCTCTTTAAAAGTTCTTCCATTCGGTATCTTTTGTCCTACCTTCAGAAGCTTTGGAAGGTAGACCAACCTCTCTTCTCTGTGACAACCTTTCAGATATTGAAAGACTCTTATGTCACTCCTAGTCTTTCTCTTTTTTAGACTAGAGCAGGGGCATCAAACTGATGGCCCGTGGGCCGGATGCATCCCGTGCAGATCAGAGGTGGGTTCCTACCGGTTCGGACTGGCTCGGCTGAGTAGATAGTAACTCGACCTACCACGCCCCCGAACTGGTTCTCTCCGCATCGCCATAGGTGCCACCATCTTGTTTTTTGTTTATGCGCATGCACAGAAGTATTTTAGTTTGGTTGGTTTGGTTTGGTTTATTGGATTTATATGCCGCCCTTCTCCCAAGGACTCAGGGCAGCGTACAACATTAAAAAAAACACATATTACAAAAGTTTTTAAAAAATAGAATATCCCATTTAGGATTAACAATAACATTTTTTTAAAAAAATTGAATTAAAATTAACAATGATCAATAATTTATTTTGTTTTGTTCAGGCCAGGCTGGCTTGCTGGAAAATTCAACTTTTTAGGGCGCGTTAGAAGGACCAGAGGTCAGGGATTATACGAAGCTCTGGGGGCAGCTCATTCCAGAGGGAAGGCACTCCCACAGAGAAGGCTTTCCCCCTGGGGGTCGCTAGCCGACACTGTCTGGCCAACGGCACCCTGAGGAGGCCAACTCTTGGGATCGTACTGGACGGTAGGAGGCTACCGGTGGCAGTAGGTGGTCTCGCAGGTATCCTGGGCCTAAGCCATGGAGCGCTTTAAAGGTCATAATTAGTACTAATTAGTACTAAGTACATTTAGTGCTAAGCATGCACACATAGCATGCATCAAACATGTGCGCAGTGCGTCCCTGAGCGAACTGGCAGTAGCAGCAGCTGGAACCCACCCCTGGTGCAGACCATGCCCACCCTGGCTCCACAAAGGCAAAAAAAACACCACAATATGTCACGTGATGTCACATGACACAATCGAGTTTGACATCAGTGGAATAGAGACATACCCAGTTCCTGCAACCATTCATCATAGGTTTTAGCCTTCATACCCTTAATCATCTTTGCTGTTCTCTGCACTTTCTATATTCTCAACATCATGGTGACCGAAACTTGATGCAGCATTCTAAGTGTGCTCTAACTAGTTCAATTCAACTTGATTATTCTACAAATAAAGTACATTTTGGAGTGCTATTTATGGTGAGAAAAAGAAATTTAGTGGAAGCACCTATAACATGATGTGAAGCTTTTTGAAACTTTTCTGCTATATCCATACAGGAATATACTCATGTTTACTTTACAGATAAGTAGAGATTGGTTAGATATTAGAAAATTCTTGAGAGGAACAATTCCACAATGCAGTCATTTGGATGGCTCACTGCATCAAGCCATTATTTCATCTAAATTGTGTTTGTGTGACATCACAACAGAACTATGAAAGGGATAGTTTTCATTGTGACACAATGATGAACATTTGATCATTTGTTTCCTTTTTCCAAACACCCAATACTAAATATCTGGATTGGGAATCCTTTCCATGCTTTAGTTATTCAAGAAAAGGGAGTCAAATAACAGTGGGGAATTGCTGGGTTTCTTGGATTAAGTTGAAATGAATCATTTACACTATAGTTGTAGGATTGTATTATCTTTCACTAACAAATATCTTATGATAATTATATTATTGTTGCAATACTAAATGAGGAAAGCTATCTAGCTATCTAGCTATCTAGCTATCTAGCTATCTAGCTATCTAGCTATCTAGCTATCTAGCTATCTAGCTATCTAGCTATCTAGCTATCNTTCCTCAAAGAACAATTTATTGGATACATCATATTGGCACAAGTGGTGAAAACCGACTCTGAACATTCCTGCGGCGTTCACCTAATTAAAAAAGTGAAAGTTCTCCTTTCCACCAAGTCATCAGTCCCATTGTCCAATAGAGGTGCTGGCCAGTTGCTTGGTGATTCCATTCCTCCTCCCGCCAGCACCTGTTGGAATGTCCTTGGTTCCTACAGGAAAACTTTTTGTTTTGACCAGAAACCCCAGCTATCTATTTCCCTTCCCCTCCCTGTCTCATCTTCTGTCTTGTGGCAACCCTAAAGCCTCAAAGATAGCCTCAACCAGATCCACTTCAGGATTGACAATAACTGAATGGAGAGAAAATTGCATGACTTGCCTATTTCTAAAAGTTCTCATAGTTGGACTATGTAGTTCTTCCATTTTCTTTACTTGCAAATGTTCTATCTTTTTCACTTTGATGGTCTGCAGTCTCTCTGGCTTCCCATGTTTCAGCTAAATACCAAGCAACTTTTCCACAGTGGCTTTTTCAGTAAAGAAAAAATGAACCACTACCAAGAAAACAGAAGAGGGGGGGGGGGAAAGCCCAACAGTGCCACCTTGCAGAAATACAATTCAAAAGCACCAACTGAGTTACTAGTGGAAAAACAAAAGCATTCCAACAATGAGGTGCCAAAAGAAGGAAGGAAATTAGAAGACAGATTTCAACACATTACGTAAAAACATTTCTTTAATAGTGAATTTACCTTGTTTCCTGGAGTACTAGATTTATAAAAACAGCAACAACAAAGAATCACAATATGTTACTCATTAACATTCATTACTTCAAAGAAATGGTTTTCATGCCCAACATATTTCAGAACATAATGTTATCCAAAATAAGATTCTTCACTTTCTTAATATTAATATTAAGATTCTTAATGTCAGGCTTTTGACATTAGGGGAGGGGGAAGCAGGGTCAGATAATTAAGCACGAATTAAGTGAGGTCAGAGTTGGCTTGCTGTCAGGATTCCGACCATTGCCCTAATTA